AAAGAGAGCAAGCAAAAGCAGCAAGCAAAAGCAGCAAGCCCAAAGCTGGAAGTAAAAAAAAAAACAGCTCTGTCTACTGCTTGTCTCTGTGTCCTGATAAGAGAAACCCAAACAAAACTTCCACTCTTCAGTGCCGGTCTTAAAGGCACAGAACAGATGAATGGGGATATCCAAGCATCATAACGTCACCCCAGGACAGGTAAGAAACATGCAGCAACTATCAGCAAGTTGGGTGGAAGGGGAGAGCAGCCTGTCTTCTACAGCTGGTAATGCTTCAAGTGCAGTGCTTCATTATTATACTCTGGTTTCTGCAGAGCACCCTTGTGCTTCTGAAAACAGTAATTCAAAATCTGAAAGCCTACTGCAAGCAAAGTTACCCCAAGGGATCTAGAAGTTAACCTGAATTTCACAATAACTCATTTCTTATTAAGTCTTTTTTTTTTTCTTTCCTTTTTCTTTCCAGCAAAAAGGATCCTTTTTCAGGGTTGGGTCTTGCAATAATATGAAATGTACAGTGGCAAGAAAGAAATATCGTAAGAGTAACTGTAAGTAAAAAATTACTGGTTTAACTGGTTTGGTAATGATATAATAACTACTAAAAATATACTGAAATTACTGTAAATACCAACGCAGAAATTAACTGCACTCTGCTTTTTTTTAATGCAGAGATTCTTCCCTCAAAGCTCTGCAGTAGAGAAAGCATGCTATTGACCAAAGGAATATTGGGTTCAAATTCATAAAGCTTTGGGGAAGCATGTTTATTTTAAAATAGCAGATTTCTCTAGCAACTACTGTAAGTCAATATTGAAACCTAGAAGAGTACCTGCAAAATGGGACCTTTACATCTTAAAATTTATCTTTAATAATTAATTCCCAAATATATGATTGAGACCAGCCAGAAGAATTTCATGCAGTGTTGCTGTAGAAGAGCCAAGCTGCAAAAAACTGTAAAACTGTACTGGGAATAGACTAACACACAGGGGGATACGTGCTTCTAAAATGAACCTAACAGTATTGTAATTACTTTCTCTTCAGATTATGGGAGATCTCCATGCAAATGCTCTGGTTGTATTTCAGCCCTCAGGCCATTTTCCTAACAGGGGTATAATGTCGTTACATAACATACATTTCAAATACACTTGAAATGCTTTTGTATGAGCAACACAGTAAAATCCAAGAACACTTATTTTAGCTCTGAAGGTGAGCTCTGAACGAGTTTGAGTGCTGCTTTTCCCTACTGCTGATGCTGTTTGTAAGTGGTGCCCTGCAAGCCACTCCTCCCAAGCAAGCAGAGTGCTGCCATGAATGTGATCCGATGTGGGGAGTGCTGGGAGCTGCTACCAATAAACTGTGGTACTGAGCAAATGGTTTTATGTACTGGCAACAACAACAACAACAAAAGCCTATACTCCTCTTTCCCTTCTCCCAGCCCACTGACATCCTGCTTATGAAACAGCTGCAGGATCAGAACAACCTCACAGAAGCAGTCACAGCTCAGATTTTATCTTGCATGAGAGGTTAACCTAAACC